GGAAGCCCCGGGCCGGGCGGGAGGGAAGTGGGTAGCTCAGCCTGGGGTCGTCTGAGGACAAGGCAGGGAGAGGGTGGGTTGTCCCGCAGGGGGGCTGGGAGGGGTCCAGGCCTCGCACCAAGCCGGGCGGCCCCGGGAGGGGAGGGAAGGGGGATTTTCCCTGGGGGGTGGGGGAATGAGAGTCTCCCCCAATTCTCCTGTGTTGCTGCCTGAAGGGAAAAGCGGGCAGGGCTCGGGGCTGGGAAGCCTCTCCTTTGTTTCAGAGCTGGCCCAGGGCTGCCCCATCCCGGGCTCGCCTCCCTGCTCCAAGTGCACTAAGCACAGGAGACCTGGCAGCTGGGGACGGGGCAGAGGAGACCCGAGCCTCCCAGAAGCCAAAGAGCTCCTCCTAGCCCCGGTCTGGAAAAGGAGCGGGTACAGCCTCAGCTAAAACCTACATCCAGCGGCCGCTCGTGTCTAACCCCTAGGCCAGCCCAGAAACTAGGCAGCAAACTACCTGGACAAAAGCCCCACAGCTTGGGGCAGACTTTCCTCTTCTTGGGGCAGAAACGTGGGGATGGACAGAGAGAGAGAGAGAAATGGATGGATGGATGGATGGATGCCTTGAGCTAGAACAGAGATCTCCCCCAGTCCCTGAGAGCTGGATTGCCACAAACGTGCTAGTCTCGAAGCCAGCCTTGCAGCAGGGTGCCAACGGTTTGCCCCTAGGTCCCTGTCTACCTACAAATCCGGGTCAGCTCAACTGGAGCAGGCGGTGGACAGCCGCCAGGGTGGGAGAGAGCCCGATGCTGCGTGCCCGCCAGGAAAGGTGGATCCCCGCGGGGCCGGGCTCCCGGGCCAGGAGACAATCGTTTCCCTGCGATGCAAACCAGAGGGGTGCCCCGCGAGCTGAGGAGCAGCACCCCAGGCGGCGTGGGCTGGAGGTGATGGTAGCCGGAGCCCCCGCAGCGAGCCGTGGTGGGAGTGAAGTCCCTCGCCCTGCCCTTAGGGAAGCATCTCGCCTGCTGCCCCGCCGTGGACCAAGCAGCTCCCTCCCGCTACCCCAGGTGGCTGCAGCCAGCGAATAGCCACGGATGGTAGGGGTCTCCTTTGTCTTCCTAGCTGCCTTTCCCCACCCCGGGGGAAGAGAGGTCACCATGAAGGCAGCAGGTCCTGCGAAGGCACCCGGCCGGGGGAAGGGGGCACCTACCTTAGCACAGGGTACTGGAGCCCGGCCGCAGGTGAGCAGTAGACGCTGCAGTGCATTATTATCCCATAGACCAGCAGCGCTAGGATCGCTTTGCTACACATTGCCACTCTGGGGAAAAGAAACAGCTGTCAGAAAGAAGCGCTCCTGTCGCTTGCCCTTTTCTCCCTAGTTTTGCCCGCCGGGAGCGGCCGCCGCCCAGGCTGCAGGATCCCCGGGTGATCGGGCAGCCCCGGCCCCGCGCGCTCAGTGCGCCCGGTCCCTTCCCGCGCCAGCCCGCTCCTGCCCGGGCCCGCCGCGCATCCCCCCCGCGCCTCCTGCCTCCTGCCTCCGCTCCCACTCCTTCTCCTTACCATGAAACTCTTCACACCCGGCACGGAGAGCGTTTGGCTGCAAACAGAAAGGGGAGATCGGGGATGAGGGGAGCGGATAAGGAGGAGGAGGAGGAGGAGAAGTGTCTCCCAAGTTTCAGCGGTTAAAACTCTCGCAGCATCGCCTCTCCGCTGGGCAAAACGCGCGGCTGTGCTGGGATCCGCTCGGGGGGGACAAAAAAAAGGGCAAAAAAAAAAAAAGTTTTCAGGAAGCAGCACAGATCTGGAGCAGAGCCAGCCTGGGGAAGGGGCAGGGGGGAGGGAGGGAAGCGAGCCCGGCAGAGAGGAGCGAGGGGCCGCGGAGGAGAAAGCCAAGGCAGGCGGAGGAGGAGGCGGGAGACAGGCGAGGGCTGTGCCTGGCAGCTGCCTGCGGGAGGCTGATCTCTTCCCCAGGTCTTCCCCTCCACTCAGATGCTTCAGCTGTCGCTTTCTCCTTCTTCTGATCCTTGCTCTGAGGCTCCGAAGTTGGCCAGCCTTCCTCAGCTCGCAATCTAGGCAATGAGCAGCAACCCCCCTGCTTTACCGAGAGCCTTCTTTGTAAACAGCCGCCTGCGTGTTACCTTTAAGGCCGGCACGATAGTGTTTGTTGCCCTGTTGTGGCGTTCGGATTTTTATTCATGAATCAAATGACTTTTTTTTTTTTTTTTTTTTGCAGTCACGTAATAATCGGGTATCAGAAAAGACGTCACCACCCAATTCCTCAAGGAACAGAACAATTCTGTGCCTTCCTCACGGATGATCTGATCGGGAGTCATAAGCTTCTCATAAACACGAACTTACACTCCCCCCTCTCCCCCCCACAGAGGGCTAAAAGATTTGTTCTGATTTTCAAGTTTGACCTGCCCCCCGAGTAGGGGGGGGCACAAACTCAGAAGGAGATAGCTAAGCTTTTCCAGAGGCCATCTCCACTGCTGCACTCGTCCAGCTTCAGCCAAAAAAAAAAAAAGATGTATTTATTTGGGAAGATTAGATCTGATGAGATCACTTCTCTCTAAATTCGTTGAGCAAACCCAAGGGTCCTACTCTGGCATATATGTTCCCTTAAACGGGGCCATTCAATGAAACGATAAGTTGCTCCTGTTGTTCCTGTAAAGGCCTTTTGAAGTCCTGTAGGCTTCTCAGTCATTTTCTAATTAGAGTTTGTAATTGTCAGTTTCTGGCTGGTGGGTGGATTGATTAGCTGGAAGCAAATCCAGGGCTTCCTCTCTGGAGCTGTCCAAACTTTCAGGTGCTGAACTGGGAGCCGGGGACAATCAAGGGACTCTATTGGAATAAGGTTTTCAACGGGGGGTTTTTCCCGCTTCATCGTTCCCACTGGGATCATTATCACTGTCATCAGTTAGCCTATACCTCTATGGTGTCTCACAATCATTGACTGGCAACCAAATATTTACAGCAAGCTCTCGTCAGACTTGGGCAGGGTGGAGGTGGGAGGGGTTGGGAGGATAATGTCCCGTTTTACGTGGGAAACCATAGTGCAAAGGTGCTACATTTTACTTGGGAAACCATACTGCCAAGGTATTACATTGATCCTGACCGTAGCGCACTATCTTCTCAGCAACAACGATCCTCCTTAGGTGCCTGAAAGCATTAACCATCCGCAAGCCCTGAATGACTTGTCATTTACAAGAAAGGGGAAGGCAGCAGCGGGTCCCTTTTTTATGATTCCTATTTATTTTGATGTCTAATCTTCACCGTTTTCCCCTTTTCCTTCCTGCCTGATGCAACCTGCGACTGCGATCAGAGCCCTTGGTAGGAAAAGAGAGGCAGACTGGAAGAGGGGGAGAGGGTTTCCATGAAAAGTTCATTTGCTGAGGGACTCTTCAGGGAATCCCTCGTCTCCTTTTCCTGAAAATGACGTGGCGTCATGGCCGCGTTGTGGGGAGCGCACTGCCTGACTTCCCAGCCTCTTGCTATTTTGATGATCTTCTGGTTCTCCCTCAACGGTAGAAATTCACATTCATTTCCGAGAATTATCCAGAGAAATGCAGACGGCAGGAGCCATTACTGCGCGTTTTAATTATTTGGATCATAAGCAGAGAATTCAGGAAGCAGCGATAATTTCGTTCTCCTGTTTCCTATTCCAGTGGTTTCGGTGCAACATGTTTAAATGAGCTGCTTGAGCTCAAGTCGATTGCTCAAACCCCATACAATTACAGTTCCTATTATGATCAGTTAGGATTTCACTATTTTTCCGGAGGGAAAGGAAATAGAACTTGAGTGAATGACTCCCTTCGAAAGCATGGGGGATGCGATTATAAAAAGCCTCGATACATAATGCAAGCTTCTTTTAGAGGCGATTGGTTTTATAGAAACGAGTGGAAAATACTGAATCGTTCTTCTGGCATTTGGCAAACAATAAAATATCTAGAGCTGGCATGACCAAATAACAAGAAATTCATTGTCCCAAAGGGAAAAACAATTACTGGTTCTGGCCATCGGATTTGCCAGGATAATGTCTGAGCGAACTTATTAAAACTTCTGATCTTTTTTCCCCAATGAATTCCAAACTGTTTGGATTTATAGAAGTACTGGTACATTTCTCAGATGCTGGGCTAAAGTAGAGATATTCAGCTTAAGTAGAGGCTGCCACCAAGTGGGGAGTTTGTTATCTTCATGATCTAGTAAAGAAAAACACAGCTAGGGCCAAATCCTAAAAACCCCATTCAGTCGGGTACAGGTGAAACCCTAGCAGAAAACGGAGGAAGGTTATTTTCCAGAATAAAACCAAATCGGGTGTGAAGGGGTTTGGCGTCCAGAGATTTGATTTATCCATAAACCCTCTTTAACGTGTTCCTCCATTACACATCCTTCAGCAGCTCCCAACACCTACCAGATTATTAAATCAAAGGACCTGTTTCCTTCTCCTGCCTTTCCACCTACAACAACAGTACACTATTCCATGACCTCTTCTATACAGGTTAATGTATAATACATATAAATAATATTAAAAACCACGTTGAAGTAACAGAAAAGGTTTGATTTTAGTCTGTAGAAGGAAGTACCTTTCAAACTGACTGTCATTTGAAAAGTGAAAGGGATTTCAAATTCACAATACTGTATCCTCACTGTTGCCTGTACCTCAACATCTGGTTTCAAACAGGCTTTTTAATTTATCTGCATGTGCTAGTTGCATTTAAAACATTTTCTAGTGTATATTTTAAAATTTACATCAACATTCTAAGAGTCAGTGAGCCTCTGAGTCTGATATAGGATGAATGTTAATTTATTTCATCAGATTGTTGGTTCTAACATGGCTTTGTTGTTAAAAGTTTTATTTCAAGCATGGGCATTTCACAGTTTACTATATATATATATATATATATATATATATATATGCTGATGCAGCTTTTATCTTCTCAAACCTCTTTCCGTATGTAAAGGTTACAAAACTATCATAGCATCTGGAGCTTTATCATAGCATCTTGTCTACAACTAGTCTACAAACTAGGAGGAAAAAACTTGTATTTGTGGAGACCTAGCCATCCCCTCTTTCCATCATTCCTTGGCAAGCCTCACCTAAAGATGTCTTTCACAGCAACATGGAAGTATTTAGCACACCTGGTTTCACTACAAAGTACCACTTCTGTCTTAACAAGAAAAGAGAAGAATGAATTCTTTCATCATAATAATGAACAAAAATCTCTGTGATTTAGGCACACATTCTCAATGAGGATTGATGAAACAGTTTATTATTTTCAATTGCAAAGCTTAATGCAAAACTATGACCATCTGGGGAATCAGTCAATGAGCTATTTGTGGATTTTGATTGAGGTTATGAACTTTGCTTATATCGGTGTCAGACTGTAAACTGTACTTTGATTGCAAGGCTGGTCTTTGCCTTCCCCATAGTCTGTCAATTTCCATCCCTTCATCCTCAACAAAAATTCCTCAAGGACACTGACATAGGACTAACAGTAGAGGATTGTTGACTTAAGTGCTATATCATTAAGATATAATTTCTTTTAACAATAAGCTAGCTGTCATCAGGGAGGATTGGACTGTCAATATAGAGATCATCCTGACAATGAAGTCACCTGTGAACAGAGGCTGAGCTAGGAGTTACTTGACAGGAGAGATAGGAAAGTTACTAAGTGCAGAAACTGATCTATTTGTCCCTTTGACGATTTTCAGCTGTCGAAGCTGAGAAGAAACTGCCTGCACAAGGAGCCAGGAGTCTAAGGAGTAATGACTGGACAGATCTCAGGCAGAGGACAGCTAAACAGTTTTCTCCCAGAGAATAAGCAGATGAGACCTCCTCCTCCCCAAGCTGAATGGAAGTGCTTAGATTTGGTGTAGAGTTCAGAAATTTAAAACACATAGGGATCCAGCAGCTGTGTCACTTGAGAGCAATCAAGTGAGTGGTCAGCAGGGAGCACATGGCCAGATGCAATCACAGCAAATTCCCTGTGAGGGTTCATCAGAACCTCCAATACCAAGCCCAATATATCACTGAATCAGCTTAAATACAGGCAGCTCTTAAACATTCTGTGCATTATGAGAAAAACACTTCCTTCCACACTTGAATCCCATGTATGCAAGGATCAGTTCCAACAACTCCTCTTCTACTCCCAGCACACCACCACATCAGACAGAACCTTAGACGTCTAACCCCAGATGCATTCCCTTTGCCCACATTCCTTGGAGTTAGATTAGCAGCTATTTGACTGCTAGTGCCCTGCTGGGGAGTCTACACAAAAGTTCATATAACAAAAAATATAGATGGTAGGCCTGATCTGTTCTTAGTTACTCTGGATGTATACACAGCCATACTGCACTGAAGATAAGGCGACAAATCCTTTCTTCAGATAATCAGTGTGTCTCTCTTCTTCTTAGTCCCTCCTCCTTACAAGTGAATTCACATTCTACAGGCCAGAAAGGAGAGTGATTTTTTTCTATGCTGGTTTTCTGTCCATGAAAACTTTGATGATATTTTACATTTGGGGAGGAGAGGAACAGTTTCCCAGGGACAAGTTTTAAGAATTCCTTTTTTCTGGTGACTGAATATTGGAATGCCCTGCTTTCAAGCTAGCAAGTTGCAGCATATCACAGAGTTTTTTTCTGAAAATGCAGTAAAGGCCCCTGGCAATAGCTAAAAAGCCAATCCTGTTCTCATTAAATTCATTAAAGTCATTAAATTCCCATTGACTTCAGTGTTCAGGGTCAGGCCTACAGACAGTGGGGCAGATCTTTGAATCTGTGGCTGGTATGAGTCAGCAGAGCTCCACAACATTCTTCAGATCTACATTAGTTTACATCAGTTGCACACAACACATTCTTTTTTGGTCTTTTCTTTACAGTAACCATGGCTAAAATATACTTGTGTTCTTGGTGCTTGTATATGAAGCTGTAACCCAATATGAATTGAAAGTACTGGTCTATATGCCCAATTGTAAGAGAACTTCAGCCAAATCCTTAAGGACAGAAGGGCTTCCATATACCTCATATTAAAAGCATAAACCCTTTGTAGTTCTGAGGTATTACTTAATGACACATCTAAACTTATTTATAGCTTAGAATTACCAGAAATAGTTGTTCTAATAAATTATTAATTTGTTCCA